ACCTTATAAATAACTTAAATCTTAACTATGTAATACTATCGGTACTAAAATCCCTCGACGGATGACTTCTTTCTTGAGGCTAAACCTATAAAAAACTAAGTTCCCTCGTCGGTTGTCTTCGTTCTTCAGCTTAGACCTAATATTATCTTAATATTCTAATTAATACGAATTAATGCTATTAATACAAGCTTTAGAGTTATATCGTAGATGGTGTTACGAGTCTTTTCGACCTGACTCATTATTGCACATATAAGATGAAATATTATTCAAAAACACCACAACTGTTTATTCACAACATCAATTAAGGAAATTTAACAAAAAATGCGTTGTTGTCCTATATGTTTTGTTAGATACCACTGAATACCAAAGCAGGGAGTGCTCTCATTTTAGCTGTTGACTCTCGGGTTGACGAAATGGGATTGGCAACTATTTCGAACACCGCTGTATACTAATGTTCACGTACTTAAATGCATGTCAAATTTTTCTGCAACCTGGCGGCGGAAATTGAAACAATATTTCACGCACATCCATAACACCAAGTCAAAAATATCTATTTATCAAACTAGATAGTCAATGAGACTGACAAAGACAGTGAGGGTGACAGGAGATCGTAGAGTACAATAAAAAATTGTAAGAGCCTATAAATTTAAATAGACTGAAATCACGATTCCACCAATAGTATAACTATTAGTATACAGTAAATCATCGATGAGTGTTCGAAGGTTACTCTCCACTGAGTGTTCAGGCGTCATCTTCACCACTAAGGAGAGTTCCCCGTGGAAACAGTTAAACGGCCAGTGGTGGGGACAAGGTCTGAACACTCAGTGCCGGGGAGCCTTCAAACACTCATCGATGATTTACTGCAACACAATTGACGTTGCATGCAAGAGCCCATGCGTTCAATTCACTTTCTTACATAAATATACTCTAAAAATGATTTAGAATCTATATATAGAAAAAAGTGAAAATTGCAAAAATTGTAATTGCCACTTCGTTTATCACACCCTAAATGTTATTTCGAATTGATTAATGTAAACACGTAGAAATCGATAAAATTGCAGTTGTCCGTTTGTACTTTGCTACCACCGAACCCAGATAGCACGTGACGCCTTGAAGACGTCCATTTTAAGGCTATTTTAGGTCTAAGGCGCCTTTAAGCCGTCTTGAAGGCGTCATTAGACGGCGTGTGCTATCCGATCACTGCTCTTTCACGCCATAGACATATACAATAGACTTCGCGGTCTTATGGTAGGGATGAGGTTGGCACTAGAGCGAGAGGATAATGCATGGAGTAACAGACTTCTCTTTCTAATGGGGCTGTTGATGGTGTATTCTCCTACGGTATTACACATGTCCAACATTCCTTCTCTTTAACGCCCTCCAGTCGCTTTCTCCCCTCCCGCCGCGATGTGCGAGCGAGAGAGAACTGACTCCATCTCTACTTCTGTCCTTCGGTCTCGCTTCACACCATAACACAGCGCAGTCTATTACACATATCTATATTTCACCACTCATTTTTCAGAAAAGTCCAAGTCAACCAACCAAAATAATAACATTTCCCTCGTCACCCATGCAGTCTGTCCTTTCGTTCCACCGCTGATAAAAATCCCTAGACAGTTTTCCCGCGAGAGCAGCGACGACACCGGCCGTTCGGGGGAATCAGGCCGAGCAATGGGACGGGCGCGTGTGCGGCGGCGGCTCGGCGCGCTTAGAAGGGCGCATGCTGGGATGTGTCACGGGCACACGCGTGTGTCCACGATCGCCCGTATACATCGCTGTCCGTGAGTGGCCAGAATGCACCTCGTGGCGGGGCGAAAGGAAGGAGGGCGGGCGTTCGGCGGTTCGCGGCAGCGAGCGCAGAGGCAGGCGCCGTAGATAGGGGCCAGGCTCTCTCCACCGGTGGCGTTTCCCGAGCCTACGGAATCGTTCCGTGTGTTCTCTCGCAGGTCGCCACCGCGTGTAGTTACAGGGAGAGAGAGAGAGGAGAGGGTAGTACCTGTGATCGTCCATTCTCGACGGTGTCAGTCGTGGCCAGCGCGGAACTACTGCGCCCGGAAACACGCAGGATCGTGCACATACATACCTGACGAGCTAGTGCCGCGATGATTTATTACGGGGGTATAAGGGGGTAGTAGGGAAGGTGGGCGAACCGTAACCAGTCGAGCCGCGAACTGGATCGTCAGTAACAGTACTGCTGCTCGTGACTACGGTGGTGGCAGCGGGCAGCAGTGTGTCCGTGGGTAGTGCTGCTGATGCTGCTCGTGGTGGTGGTTGTTCGTTATCGTGGTGGTGCTCGTTGGTAGCCGACAATCATCGTGTGTATCGTGCTTTGTGGTGGTGGTAGTGACACGGAGTAGTGCGCCTCGTTCGACGACGGTGGCAAAGGAGAGAAGGAAAAGTAGCCCTCGGGGTTACGAGGCCAGAGGAGAAAGTGGGTGTTGCCGGAGCGACGACGGGGGAGTATCGCATCCCTGGGTCCTCGGGCGCCCAGGACACCTCCTACGAGATAGAAGGAATCTCTGGTTGTAGGATGCGCCCCGCTCGACGATCTAGTCTCCTAATCGAGAGCTTGATCCTCGTTGATCGTGTGCCTCGTGAGTACACCCAGTAAAAAGGACATATAACATTCTCTTGAGTTCGCGATCATCATCCCTTTTAGGATTCGCGTGTACCCAGTACAGGATGATTTTTTAAAACGTTAGACATAGAGCATCCTCGAAACGTTTCCTGACGTTTCGTCACATTCCTCCCCCTCCCCCTTGGTCCACCCTTACGATCTTTCTCAGGAGGTACAAGACACAGGGAAGCGGTTCTTAACCGCCCTTGACGCAGCCGGGAAGGGACAGGTAATTCGACGGCTAGGAAGGAAATAGAGGTCGGATGCAAATTACGAGGGTGGATGAGGTGGTGCGCGATGGGCACAGTAATTGGGGCGAGGGGACAGGGGTTCAGGTAGGCGAGGGGTATAGAGAGAGAGGATACGTTGGATACTTCCCTCTTTCGCATCCTCTTCCTCGTTTACAACCCTCTTCCACTCCGTCCTCTATTTTCCTTGTTCCCCTTCGTGTTTCGTTCTGCCCTTTTTTTTTTTATATACCCGCCCCGTGCTGGTAAACAACAGTCACTGGCGTGTGAGAAGGTACACGGGCATAGAGGTAAAAAAAAAAAAGGAAAACTTTTGTCTCTACCGTTCGAGGTTTTTTTTCTACTTTATCTTTTTTGTTCGACGTAACGAGGGGTCGAGGGACGGTACGTGTTATCGTGCCCGTACACACACACACACACACAGAGATGTGCTCTTTTTTCCCCTCTGGATAACCAGCGGTACACGCGAATACCAGAAATAATATACACTCGGAGAGAGGCATGTACCGACCAGTCGAGAGAGAGAGTCAAGAACATCCCTCCGTTCTTCCCCCCGTGTGCACTGGCCTCGATTAGTTCTCGCTTAGAGAGAGAGTTGTGACCGGATTATTCTTCCTTTTTTTTTTTTTTACTCTCCCCTTTATTTTTCGGGGGCGCAGAGGGGGTGGCAGAGGGCGGAATGGGTGCGCTAACGACGTCACCGTGTCGAGTGAGTCACGGCTTCTAAATTGATCCCCCACCATGGTTCGACTCTTCCTCCTCTTCCTCTTGTGTCCCACCCCTACTTCCTCTTGCCTTTACTCCAACCTATACAGATTTTTCGTCCTCTTTCCTTCCTAACCATCCTCCTCCTATTTTCCTATCTAGTTTTCCATCATCTCCATCAACGAAGCCCAGCGTTGATTTAATTCCTCGATGCCCCCCAACTGTCTCCCCTTACGCGAAGGGGGGGAAAATACACGCCCGGAAACGGATCGTGTGACCGAGGTTATTCCACACGGTAACGTGTGCTCTTCCTACTTAACCGCTCGACGACGTTCAATAATTTCGCAAGGTTACGTTACGGGGGCCTGCCTATCGACAAACTACATTGGTATGTGTGTATGTATGTGTGTGTGTGTGTGTGTGTGTGTGTGGTA